CCAAAATAGGCCAAAATACCGTAGAACAACATTTGGGCAGCGTGTGACGGTTTCATTGGCCGTTTGAAGGCCATAATTAGGTGACCAATTCGAACAAATCTACACTGATTCTAAAAATGAATGCTTTTTCCGACATTTTCTGCTTTCCTTCAATAAAATTAAACAAAAATAAAAACAAGTAAAAAAATATTAAGTTCGGCTGGGCCAAACTTTTAATACCCTCCACCTTATCGCAAAGGAAACATTAGAAGAAATGTGGCAAAACCATCAAAATACCGAATATCGGAAATAACGAATATCATGGACCTATACATACAATGTTTCTCCAACGGAGCTAGAACCCATTATGACTACAAATACCAATTTTCAGACAAATCCGTGAAAAAATGTGGCAAACATCATCAAATTACCGAATGTCGGGAGGTACCGTTATATGGGGGCTATAACAAAACGTGGACCTATAATTACAATGACTCGCCACACTAACTGGGACCCATTATGATCTACAACTACCAATTTTCAGAGTAATTCTTGAAAAAAGGTGTCAAAAATCATCAAAATACCGAATATTGGGAGGTACCGTTATATGGGGACTATATCAAAACGTGGACCTATACATACAATGTTCCGCCACACGAACTAGAACCCATTATGACCCACAAATACCAATTTTTAGACAAATCAGTGAAAAAATGTGGCAAAAACCATCAAAATACCGAATATTGGGAGGTACCGTTATATGGGGGCTATACCAACTCATGGACCCATACTTGCAATGTTTCGCCACCGGATCTGGAACCCATTATGACCAACAAATACCAATTTTTAGACAAATCCGTGAAAAAATGTGGCATAAATAATCAAAATACTGAATATCGGGAGGTACCGTTATATGGGGACCATACCAGAACGTGGACCGATATATCTCATTTTCAATACCAACCATCCTAGACACAATACAAATAGCTCTGCTAAATTTTGGCGCTCTACGTCAAATAATTTGGGCTGTATCGTGATTTCAACAGATAGACGTACAGACAGAAAGACGGACAGTCAGACATACGGACATCCTTAAATCGACTTAGAATTTTATGCTGATTATGAATATATATTATATACTTTATGGGGTCTACGACGAATATTTAAGGATGTTACAAACGGAATGACAAAGTTAATATACCCTCCTTTCCAAGGTGGATGGCGTTTGACTTTGTTGCAGATTTTTATCTCACCCTGTATAAAGAGTACGAGTATTTTGTACAACCTCAGCCATATGGCTACAGAAGGTATATATCATTTGATATGGCCAAAACGTGCTTCAGTGAAGTAACGGGTTTAGATCCTAATCGCATTTGGACACATCCGTTTCGGCATATTTGAAGTCTATCTCCAAATCCGTCGGTCTGTTTGTCTGGCAGGTTCCCACGATAACTCTGGAGGGGAGCATTCGATTTTATCCAAACTCGGTGCATCGTGATATCTAAACTTAAATCGTGTTCGAAGATAGGCAATATGGATCTACTCCTTCTGGTACACACCCCCCACAAACGCAAAATTTTCAAAAATATATATTTTACCCCAGAAAACAAGACATAATCATTCACATTTGTTCCAACTTTGCAAATTATTACCCTCCACCACAGTATGGAGGATATATTTAATTTGTCATTCCGTTTGTAACAACTCGAAATATACATTTTAGACCCCACAAAATATATATATTCTTGATCACCATAAAATTCTATGTCGATTTAGCGATGTCCGTCCGTCTGTGGAAATAACTCTAGCTTCCGAACGAAATGAAATAAATTAATAAAATTTTACTCAAATGTATATAATGTCTGCAGGACTTTTTGTATTGAAAATGAGCCATGTAGGTCCATGTTTTGGTACAGCCCCCATATAATGGTACCTCCCGATATTCGGTATTTTCATGATTTTAGCGACACTACTCACCGGAACTGTTTCAAATTTGGTAATTGAAGTTCGTAACGGATGCTACAGCCTATGACAGGAAATTGTCTGTGCAGGTTCACGTCTTTGTATTGCCCTCATATAAGGTACCTCCCTATATTCGGTATTTTGATGATTTTAGCGACATTATTCACCGGAATTGTTTCAACTTTGGTATTTGAAGTTCGTAATGGATACTTCAGCCTTAAGCCAGAAATTTTACTGAGCAAGTCCTCGTCTTCGCATAGTCCCCACATAACGGCACCTCCCAATATTCGGTATTTTGATGATTTTGGAGACATTTTCACCGGAATTGTTTCAAATTTTGTATTTGAAGTTCGTAGTGTATTTTAAGTTCCTAAGACAGAAAACTGTCTGTGCAGGTCCACGTCTTTGTATAGCCATATAACGGTATCTCCCGATATTCGGGACCAGATATATTCGGTATTTTGATTTATTCACCGGAATTGTTTCAAATTCGGTATTTGAAGTTCGTAATGGATACTACAGTCTATGAGAGGTCCACATCCTCGCGTAGCCCCAATATAACAGTACCTCCATATATTCGATATTTTGATGATTTTAGCTATTTTTTCGCATTTGAATATTCTAATGGTTTATGACAAAAGTTGTCCATGCAGGTCCACCTTATCGTATAGACCCTAATATAACGGCTACATTCGGTATTTTTAAGTGAATTTTTAACGGATTTTATTTTTAATTATTTATTTATTATAATTATTATTATTATCATTAATATTATTATTATTATTATTATTATTATTATTATTATTATTATTATTATTATTATTATTATTATATTATTATTATTATTATTATTATTATTATTATTATTATTATTATATTATTATTATTATTATTATTATTATTATTATTATTATTATTATTATTATTATATTATTATTATTATTATTATTATATTATTATTATTATTATTATTATTATTATATTATTATTATTATTATTATTATTATTATATTATTATTATTATTATTATTATTATTATTATTATTATTATTATTATTATTATTATTATTATATTATTATTATTATTATTATTATTATTATTATTATTATTATTATTATTATTATTATTATTATTATTATTATTATTATTATTATTATTATTATTATTATATTATTATTATTATTATATTATTATTATTATTATTATTATTATTATTATTATTATTATTATTATTATTATTATTATTATTATTATTATTATATTATTATTATTATTATTATTATTATTATTATTATTATTATTATTATATTATTATTATTATTATTATTATTATATTATTATTATTATTATTATTATTATTATTATTATTATTATTATTATTATTATTATTATTATTATTATTATTATTATTATTATTATTATATTATTATTATTATTATTATTATTATTATTATTATTATTATTATTATTATTATTATTATTATTATTATATAATTATTATATTATTATTATTATATATATTATATTATTATTATTATTATTATTATTATTATTATTATTATTATTATTATTATTATTATTATTATTATTATTATTATTATTATTATTATTATTATTATTATTATTATTATTAATAATAATAATAATAATATTATTATTATTATTATTATTATTATTATTATTATTATTATTATTATTATTATTATATTATTATTATTATTATTATTATTATTATTATTATTATTATTTATTTATTATATTTTTTTTTTTTTTTGAAAGTTAGCCCGGTCGAAGTTTTTTTTTAGAAAAACAAAGTTAAAGTTATACTATTTTTAACAGTGAACAACAATTGCTTCAATCGATTCAAACGATTGTCAAAATAATCTAAGGGATATATTCCGATGTCAATTTTTCGCAATTTTAAAACTTTAGATTTTCGGTGGATTTTGATTTTTATATCGACTTTCAGCCAATTGTACAAAATCGAACTATTGAAAATTGAAATAATTTGCGTTAAAGAAAAAAAATCAGAATTGTCGATATCGACTTTTGCTTTCGACCACGTCGCTTTGTAGCAAATTTTCTTCAGCCAATTAATAGTTTACTTACCACTGTGAAATATTTCCAAAATCGACTGAGAACTACATACTACTCTTTCCTCTTAATATTTCAACTGTTACATACTTATTTTCTAAAACTGATAAATTTAAATTAATTTTTCTGCTGATGATTTACAGCTCGCAAACCAAAAAAAAATAATCGATTTCTAAATGATCAAAATTTAAGTTCTAATCGTTTCTAGATCGGTTGTTAATTAAATATTGCATTTCATCGTTTTTTAAAATTATGTATTTTGGTTCTATATACACATAGCGGTATAGACATCATATTTCGATAAATTAGGTTATCGGATATTGATTATTTGTATAAAAAATATATCCACCTGCTTAGTATGTATAGAAACCTGTATATTGTATTGAAATGAACTGTATATTTTATAAAAATTAACTGTATATAATATAAACAAATAGCTGTTATATATTTTACTTAAATAGTTTTAAAAGCAAATATTAGAATTTGCATCGAGACATCATGCCACTAAATATATGTATGTATTTACAAAAAGTTAAAATAATAGAACATAAAAAATCTAACCAAAATATTTTTTAAGATAATCTGCAGAATTACGGATGTCATTAGTGGTGCAGAAATAAATGAAATGGGCCAGGTGAAAATATGGTAAAAATGTATGTAGCATTTTTTGCATCGCTGATGGTGATTGATGGTGAGATTGTGGTGGGTAGTAATGTAATGAAAGTAAAATTTAATTTTTTAAAAAATTATTTCCAAATTGCCAAAATCTAACTAATCAAGGTGCCAAGGTGTAAAATTATTTTGCATAAGGTGGTAAGTGGTTAGGTAAGTAGTGCTGAGTAAGTAATTGCTTCAAAAAGCCATTAAAGAAAAAATCAACTAATGAATTTTCTATTTTTGGTTTTTTGTTTCTAAAATGATTTTTTTTTTGTGATGATGTTCATGTTCTTTGTGTGATAATCACCTCACTTATTAGGGGTTCCGCTAAATGATTATCGGTGACACGGGTCATAACCGTTTCCGTAAAGGTTGACTTGGTAATGGTTTCGGTAATGCGACCCAATTCGGTGGGAGCTGCTGGGAACATGGGCATATCGGGAACGGCCTTATTGACGGTCACAGTAACACCAGCCACACCCACTTCATTCGGCCGTGCCACATGCACCTGATGCTGAGATCCACCACTGAGGAAGTGTGCCGGTATCATTGCCTGAAAATCTTCACTCGTCAAAGGCCTTAAAGGTGGTGGCTGTTGGTTTTGCGGTTTTTTGCGTTTTTTTCGATTTAGGGATTGATTGATGAGGGGAGTTAGTGGGGGAGGTTGTGGTTTTAGTTGTTGTATTTTTGTTCAGTTTAAGTTGGTTAGATGGTATAGAAGAATTTGAGTTGTTCATAAAAAAACATGTTTGCATATTTTGGTTTTTGGTTTTGTTTGTTAATTTTGTTTTAATAAGTAAGTTGTTGTTTTCGAATTTTGTTTTCAAAATTAATATATATATAAAAAAGAAAGAGAAAAAAAGAAAGAAAATCATTTGTTTAGCTTTCGAGTATTTTTTTTTTCAAAAATTATTAAATTTTGTTTATGCAGGAAAAACTTAATTACTAGATTTTAATATAAAATTAATAAAATTAAAGCCAATTCTGTGCGTTAAAATAATAATCAAAGGTCTGCTGGATTTGCATTTAATTGCAAAAAAGTAACAAAAATTCTCATTATCAAAAGCCAATCACATTTCACTCGAACTCAATCATTTGTATTAATTATGTAAATTTTTATTGCTGTCATTCGTGTGGAATTACAATTTCCGGATCAGTGAGGTTTATTTTCATTTTTAATATTAATAATGATTTTTTTATTTTTCATTTCAAATGAGCTTGAGGGGTAAAAATGAAACAATACCTAATTAGTATTGAAATTCCAAATTGAAAAAATAAAAAATATTAAAAAATTATATATATATATTTTTGAAAATATTTCGGGAGTGCATAGTGGTTCCAGAAGTATTCCCTACTCCAAACAAAAGAAACCCCTTCAGATGTTTTCTATTAATCTGCTCTACATAGAAGAACCTACGGATGTATTTTATACATCAAAGGCGAAGGTTTTTTCTATACATAGAAGACAATTTGAAAATCTTTTATACATACAGGGTGAGATACAAAAACTGCAGCAAAGTCAAACGCCATAATTCTTAATTTTTTTTTTTAATTTTATTGATTAAAGCTAAAAATGCCGAAAATAGCACCAAATTTTAGAATAAGTTTAGATTTTTTCGAATTGGTCACCTTTGGCACGGACTATGACATTCAAACGGCCAATGAAACAGTCACACGCTGCCCTAATGTTTCTCTGCGGTATTTTGACCCATTTCCGACGGAGCGCTTGCTTGAGGTGATCGACACCTTGGTATTTTTTAGTGCCAACCTTGCTCTCCAAAATACTACAGACACAATAGTCCAACAGATTGGTATCCGGAGATTTTTTGGCCATTGTGCGCTGGAAATGAAGTGAGGAACCTCATGTTGTAACCATTCTAGGCTGGCTCGGTCTGAGTTCTCTTGGAATGTCCTAGGTCTGCGCCCAAAATGTTTGCGTGCCCAAGGCTTTAATACAACCTCCAGAATATTTTCGCGACGGTCGATTAATACAAACGGAGAGCGACCATCGGCTGTTATGACGGCCCACAATATCATCATGGTCGGCGCTTGAGTTCTGCTGCCCAACCGAAGGTGCCCATTCTTTAGCTGACATCTTTGGCAAGTAAACACGATCTTTTTTTTTTTTTTGTTTACAAATCGCTGGACAACGAATGTTTTCTCATCGGAGAAACCCAAATTCGGCAGTTCACCACTTTCGGCCAGGCGAAGCAACTCTTTAGCTCTTTTGAGTCACTTTTCTTTCCGTTGCGGTATAAGTTCTTGCACTTTTTGGAATTTCAATGGCTTTTCCCCGAGCTCATTTTTCAATATTTCCTGAAAATATATTGCGATATATTTTCAGCTCACGAGCCATTTTTCGGCCACTGCGACGCGGGTTTCAATCAAGTTGCTTCTTTACTTTTCGAACCATTTCTGCTGATGTTACTGTTTTCTTCCGTCCACTTCCTTGACGTCGGGCTACACTACCAGTATCACGGTAACGAGCGATGGTACTAGACGCAACATTTTTATTCACATTTAAATGCTGGAGTGCTCTAACGATAGCCACTTATGGTTTTCCGGCCAAATATAAAGAAATCACACTATCACGCTTGAATTCCATTTTCTGGAAAATTCTCACCAAAATGGGTTTGAATGCTTGTAAACAGTATAATGAGCTGTCACTGGAATAATTTTAACAGCTATCGGACGAGTGGCTTAGAAATGACAGCAGTCTAAAGTTGGTTCCAGTTTTTTTCATCTCACCCTGTACATGGAAGACACTACGGATGTCTCCTACATATATAATAGACCTCTCGGAGATCTTTTATACAATAAAGACCCCTCGGAGGTATTTTACACATAGAAGACTCTTCAGAGGGCTTCTATCATAGAAGATCTTTCGGAGGTCTTTTACACCTAGAAGACCTTTCGGAAGTCTTCTATACCTACAAGATCTTTCGCAGGTCTTCTGTACATAAAAGACCCTTCGGAGGACTTCTAAACTTAGAAGAGGTCCGGAGGTCTTCTATAAATAGAAGACTCTTCGGATGTTCCATATAAATAGAAGGTCCTTCGGATGTCTTCTGTAAATAGAAGACCTTTTGAAGGTCTTCTATACCTAGAAGACCTTTCGGAGGTCATCTATACACAGGGTCTTCCGGGGTCATGGTCTTCTATACACAGAAAACCCTTCGGAGGTCTTTTATACTTAGAAGAAGTCCGGAGGTCCTCTATACATAGAAGACTCTCCGGAGGTTTCATATACATGGAAGGTCCTTCGGATGTTTCATATTCATTGAACCTCCTTCGGAGATCTTCTATACATAGAAGACCTTTCGTAGTTTTTTTTTATACATAGAAGACCCTGCGGACGTCTTTTGTAAATAGAAGACCCTTTGGAGGTCTTCTACACATAGAAGACCCTTTGAAGGTTTTTATACTTAGAAGACATTTGGGAGGTCTTCTATACATAGAAGACTCTTCGGAGGTCTCATATACATAGGGAGTCCTTCGGAGATTTTCTATATATAGAAGACCCTTCGGCGGTCTTCTACACATAGAAGACCATATCTTCTATATTTTTACAAGTTTTTTGTAGTCTGCTGATAATCTTTTATATGTAAAAATTCTTCTTCTTTTTTGATATTCTAAAAATTTCCCTGAACACCTCACTGATCCAAGTTCTCTGTGCCACACTTTACCTAAAAAAACTACACATTACTAAAATTTCGTCTAAGACTAATTTCTCTTTAAATAAAATAAATAAAACTTCCTAAACTAATAAATTGTCGATATGTAAAAAAAAAACAAAAACTAGTTCTTTCAAATAAACAAAATAAAAATTTAAATAATTTTTAGTAAATTTTGTCATTACAACACTAACAAAAAAATAAAAAACACACATAACACTATTATCATTCCAATTATAAATATGTATATGTGTGCAATATTGTTATTGTAATTTTGTCGGCAAGTTACAGCACACAACACGCTGCACATTCTAAGGATGCCGGATGTAGGTGGTGAGATAGACAAAAAATTACACAAAATGCAAAAGCATGTACGAGTAATTATTGAAAAATAAAGGAAACAAATTTAACTAGATTTATTTTATTGTAATAATTGTGTATTGGAATATGTGAGGGGGGAGGGAATAGAATCGCGGATATTTAAAATATTTTGCATTCAATAACAACAGGAATAAACAAACATACACGCACACACATACATGCAATTACAAACGAAAATATACCAATAACAGCATCGGCAATAACATGACATGAAATGAAATGATTTTTGGTTAGATACTCCAATTGGACAAACACAGACACACCCACATACTTAAAAGTTAAACACAAAAAGTATATAAAAGAAAGTGTGGGGGAAGGGGGAGAACAAAACTTTTAGGCCGTGTTAGACACGTTATGGCCTAAACCAATAACGGAATCAAATAACCAAACAAGTGGCCATCAATTCCAATGAAATTCAAATTCAAATGCGTGAACCACCGACCGAGAGTTCCTCGTTTATCTGTGTTATTTGTATGTATGTATTTTACTTTTTATTATTTATTTATTTGGTTGTGTGTGTTATTTTCTTTAATTGGTAGCAGCCACACCGAGCCACACCACCATCTGTTTTGTTATTCGTCATCATTATATGAACATTAAATCAAAGCTGTTATTATGTTCAATTATTTACGGAAATCTAATATTCAGTAGTGGCCGAAATTATATCCGTTTTCCAGTAGTTCCGTAATATTTTCGACAAATTCAAACATACACTTTTCTTGTTGAGGGGGAGGAGGGTTAAATACTCGTGGATCCAAATTACTTTCCTGTTACTCAGAGTTACAGGAAATTTTTGAAATTTGAGTATCATAATTATTAGTTTAAGTTGCATGTAGTGAATGCTTGGCTATATATTTGGAGGAGGCAGAAAACAGTTTTTGGGAGTGGGAAAGCTGTTTGAAGGGTGAGTCAATTTTACTCAATATGAAGAAAGAAAACAACTTTATTATAATCTTACTTTTTTATACCCTAAATCATATGAAGGGGATACCGAAAGTCGATTTAGCGATGTCCGCCGCCTGACTGTCTGGCCACGCTTTCGTATAGCCTCTATTTAACGGTACCTTCCAACATGCGGTATTTTTATGGTATTAGAGACATTATAGACAGGATTTGTTTCAAATTTCGTATTTAAAGTTCGTAATGTATTCTACAGCCTATGACAAAAATTTGCGTATGCAGGTCCACGCCTACGTATAGCCACCATATAACGATATCTCTTGACATTCGATGAATGTAGAGAAATTATCTAACGGATTTTTATACCCTCAGCCATATGGCTACAGAGGGTATATATCATTTGATACGGCAAAAACGTGCCTCATAAAAATAACGGTTTTAGACCCAGGTATCTTTGGACTAAATCCGTTTCTGGACATTTGGAGTCGATCTAGCGATGTTCGTCTGTCTGTCTTTCTGACTGGCTGGCTCGTGAGCACGATAACTCTCGATGGGGGTATCGGATTTGATTCAAACCTGAAAAATCGTAATCTTATTGTCAAAATTAGATCGAGTTCGGAGCTGGGCAAAATCGGTCCACTTCTTCTGGTACCTCCCACACAAAATATCAACATTTTCAAAGAAAATAATTTAGTGCACAGAAAGAGAAAGGATAATCCGATTTTGTTCCTTCTTTGCGAATCCTAATATTAGCATCAGTGCTAGGTTGGGTGCTAAAATGGACAATATCGGTTCACTCCATCAAGTACCTCCCCCACAAAGGGTCAAATTTTTAAATAATTATAATTCTTATAAATGTGTTGTAAGTGTCCGACTGTCTTCAAATTACACACATCACAATACTTTCATTAACCCGCTGTCTGGTGTGAAATTGGACAATATCGCTCCACTTCTTCTTGTACCTCACCCTCACAAAGGGTGACAATTTTGAATATTCATGAAGCTTACAAAACACGAAATGAACATCCGATTCCATTCAGACTCGGCACATCTCAATATTTATATAAACACAAGATCTGTTCTAAAGATGGTACAGATCGGACAATTCCTTTTGTTATCTCCCCCACAAAGGGTCAAAATTTTGAATAACCAAAACGGTCATAAAATCCGAAATAAGCATCCCGATCACTTCAAATTACGCACTTCACAATATTTTTATTAACAAAAGATCTGCTGTAAAAATGGGATATATTGTTCCACTCCTTCTGGTACCTCACCCACAAAGGCTAACAATTTTCAATACTTTTTTTATCATGTCATAAGAAACAAGTCAGCAAAATTATTTACAACTTTCGATATTATTATTTAAATATTTCTCTCGAACAGAAATCTGAGATGAATATGAATACTTAGTTTCGGAAAGTTCCGTCATATTGGGCTTTTACATAAAATTTAAATTAGACAAATTTTTTAGACAAAATTTTTGGTCATAGGAGGTAATACCAATTGCGAACTACATATAAATAATGCGGACAAATTCCGTTGAAACATGTAATGTGTATCATCATAAAATACCAAAGGTTTCTTTATCTGGATCAAGTACACAAAAGTACCTGCTTGAGAAAACATTGAAATTTTTCTGTTTGAAAATTGTGACTAAAATCACCGAAATACCTAATAAAAGGAAATACTGCTATATGGAGTCTTACAACAATGTGGACCATTATGGACAATTATTTGACAATTTACAGAAAATTCTCTTAAAAACCTGGGTACAACACTAAAATAATGTAGGTTATACAAAATCGCTGACCTATGTCGCTCAATTTTAATACCAACAAGTAAAAAAGAAGCAAGTTCGGCCGGGCCGTACAAATTAGGAAATTTTCAAAAAAAAATAAAAAATAAAAAATAAAATCCATTAGAAATTCGGTTAAAATCTTAAAAATACCGAATATTGGAAGGTACCGATGAATGGGGGATATACGATATTGTGGACCTATACAGACATTTCCATTTCTGGGGGTAAGGTACAGGGTTGCCCATATTCGACGGACCCATGTTCAAATTCTTCAGAAAATCGATTGTTATGCGACTTGTGTGCGGTGGAGCGCCGTCTTGTTGAAACCAGAACTGCCTCATACGCTTTCGACGAATAATTGGCATCACAAAATTGGTCATCATGTCGCGATAACGCTCCTGATTGATGGTAACAGCATGGCCATTTTCATTTTGGAAGAAAAACGGCCCAATGACCGTTTTCGCACTAACGCCGTAAAAACGGCAATTTTGCTTATTTACGGTCCCATTCAATGTGAAATGGGCTTCATCAGACATGATCATTTTGTTCCAAAATTGCTCGTCATCTTCGGTCATTTCGATGACTCTTTGGGCCCATTCCAATCGACGAGGCTTGTCCGCAGGCATCATTCTTTGCGTCAATTGAATTTTGTACGGGAACAAATGCAAATCAATGCGAATAATCCGTTGTAAAGTGGACCGAGCCATGCCCAACTGCTGAGAACGGCGTTTTTGGGATGTTCTTGGGGACCTCTCAACACAGGCTCGTTGCCAGATGGGTCCGTCGAATATGGGCAACCCTGTACTCACAAAGAACTCCTTCTGTAGAATTTCAGACAATTCGGTTGATAAATGTATATAAAACCATAAAAATAACGAATATCGGGGGCTATACGATATCGTAGATCTATATAGACAATTCTCTTTCAGGGGTTAAAGTACTCGCAAGGAACTCTTTGTGTAGAATTTCAGACAATTCCATTGGAAAATGTGGCTACAATCATCAAAACTCCGAATATCGGGGGTACCGTTACATGGGGGCAATACGATATCGTGGACCGATATAGCTCTTCTTCGAATTTGACCTGCCTGCAAACAAAAGACAGATCTGTGCAAAATTTTAGCTTCCTATCTTAATTCGTTTTGACTGTAGCGTTATTACAACAGACGGACGGACAGGGCTTACATTTTGACGCTAATCAAGGATATATATAGTTTTAATAATTTTAGACCCAATTATTATTTCGGTGAGTTAAAAACGGAATGATGAACTTAATATACCCTCCTATGTATGGTGGAGGGAATAAAATTTCTACGGACCTATAAAACATCAGAGTCAAGTGTTTTTTTAAAGCCCCCATAGTACGATTTCTCCAAGTTAAGAAATACTCCAAAAATTTGTGTATGTTTGAATTTGTCAGAGGACTTGATTTTGAATATACGGATTTTTTTGGTAATTTGTTTCAGTTAAAAAAAAAATTATTTAAAATGTGTTGGCTTGTTAATTTTTCAACCTAATAGTTACGTCGAATTCGATGATAAAATGCAATTATGAAATTATGCTAAAAATATCGTCAAAATGCTTGAGTGCGTGGATATTGTGGCTTTAAACCGCATGTAGAAGTAACGAAAAAAAGTTAAAACGAATAAAAGACAACGACATTTGGCAAAGAATGCAGGCAGCAAATTTTTAACTTAAACACTAAACAAACGGGGACAAACACGAATTATGAGCGAAAACACAAACAGACAAACCTCCTTTAACGGCTGGAGTAAACCTACCTGTGTCTCAATTGGATCGGTGGCGGTGTTAGCAGCATTGGCATTAGTTGTTGGCGACTGGGGTATAGAACCATTTTGATGGGTGGAACTTGTCGAGGCTGCAACTGGAGATGTTAATGTTTTTGATGCAACGGGTTGCGTAGCAACGGATGTTGGACTAGCTACAGCATCGGTGGTTGGACCATCACCCAAAGGTATGGAATTAGAGCGTCTGGGTGCTGGTACCGGCAAACCTGTTACTTTGTCAATTTGTTGTTGGGGTTGAAGCTGAGGTGTCATATGTTGCTGCTGCTGTTGTTGTTGTTGATGAACTGTTGCATTAGCAAAACCATTTGCTTTTGTTGCAGGCACTATATTAGGACTTACAGATGCAGGCATTGTTGTTGGTGCCGCTAGATTTCTATTAGAATCATAGGACGACACTGGAGTTTGTTGTGTTTGTTGGTAAATCATGTGTTGTTGTTGTTGCTGCTGTTCGTCAATCATGTCACCAATGGAACGTTTAAAATTACCTGTCAACATTTTTTTTTTGTTTTGTTTTGATAGAAAAATAAACATTTATTAGATTTGTAATTTTATTTTTGTTGTTGTTGCTGTCGCTGTGGTCATGCCACATTTTCCACTTACCCGGACGATTGTTTAGATAACCTGAAGGGCTCAGTGCATTCAATACAGCCGGACTATGCGGGCTCAAGGGTGCCTCCAATGGTCCTCGATATTCTCTTTGTAAAACCAAACGGACAAAACGTTGTGGTTGTGTCAGACACTGGACAGCAGCATCATGTTGGGCATTTGTCATGTCATTGCCATTAATCTAAGGATGGAGAAAACGGGGTGAGTTGTGTGCTGGTCAAGTGATTCAAGGGTGATTCGAGTGAAATGAAAATTTGTTTGTACAGAGAGGGAGAGCTGGAGTTGAAATCAAATTTTATAGAATTCATGTTTCAAAATGGGGAACACTTATTTGGTGTGATGGATATTTGATTAAAAGCTTGATCTTTCTTATGTATCATGTAGAGAACGAAGAGCATAATACGGAAAGAGGGTGTCAACCGACATTCTACACCCTTTTCAGATGTAATTCGAAACATTTGAATTGTAATTCGTAACAATTCATACGAGAATTTTATTTGTAATTCGTAAAATTTCAATTTATATCCGAGAGTTCTATTTGTAGGACTCCGGCATTTAAATGTGAATAAATCTTTTCTGTCCCGTACCATCGCTCGTTACCGTGATACTGGTAGCGGAGCCCGAAGTCAAGGAAGTGGACGGAAGAAAACAGCAACATTAGCAGAAATGGTTGGAAAATAAAGAAGCGACTTGATCGAATCCCGCGTCGCAGTAAGCGAAAAATAGCTCGTGTGCAATATTCCATTCGGCAAATATTGAAAAATGAGCTCTGGGTATAGCCATTGACATTCCAAAAAGTGCAAGAACTTACACCGCAACACAAAGAAAGTTGTGAACTGCCGAATATGGTTTTTCCCGAAGAGGTCAGCTGAAAATGTGCACCATCGGTTGGCCACCAGAACTCAAGCGCCGGCAATGGCCATGGTGTGGGCCGCCATAACATAACTCGTGTGCTGAACTTATCGCAATATTACATACGCAAATATTGAAAAATGAGCTCGTTGTCCAACAGATTGTAAACAAACAAAATGATCGTATGTACTAGCCGAAGAGGTCAGCTGAAAATGTGCACCTTCGGTTGGCCACCTGAACTCAAGCGCCGGCCATGGCGATGGTGTGGGCCGCCATAATATATAACATAACATAAGTAATATTCCATTCGGCAAATATTGAAACATGAGATCGGGGTAAATCTTGCTTGGCCGAAAGTGGAGAACTGCCGCATTTGGTTTTCAGCGCTTCGCCTGGAATGGACCAAAATACCGCGGAGAGGAACATTAGGGCAGCGTGTGACAGTTTCATTGGCCATAATTAGTGCCATAATTCATAATTCGTACCAAAGGTGACCAATTCGAACAAATCAAAATTTGATGCTACTTCCGACATTTTTTGATTTCACTCAATAAAATTTAAAAAAAAATGTAAAAATTATGGCGTTTGACTTTGGTATAGGGTTGGGAGTGTAGTTTTCTCGTCGGAAGAGGTAAATTCAGTTGTACCCACTATCTCTCCTAATCGGTATTTATACATATATATATGTATATATATATATATATATATATATATATATATATATATATATATATATATATATATATATATATATATATATATATATATATATATACATATATATATATAAATACCGATTAGGAGAGATAGTGGGTACAACTGAATTTATCTCTTCCGACGAGAAAACTACACTCCCAACCCTATACCGATATTCCCAATTCTCTAGACACTAAATTTAATACAATTTAGTACTTTAGTACTCCTCCCTCTTTTCCTAACGCTTCGAAGTAATTTTAATACTCAAATTCATAATTCTACTTATATTCCTACACTCTGTGCCAAATTGAGTACTATTAAGAACATTGCGTCAGCTATTGTACACATTTCCAGAATGACCTTTTTAAAACAATCGCACACACTCACAATGACTCTCATAAACATTTTCAATACTCCAACTTGATATACTCTCTGAAAAGCATATTGTATCAAATGTAGTACCATTTGGTAAGATTGGTGGTACACTTAAGTACAGATTTTAGAAATCACTTCCCACATACAATTTCAATATTTTAGCTCTATCCGTTCGCCCCAAACAAATGGTACTAAATTTGGTACCTTTTGTTTAATTTTGTATTATTTAGTGCGATATTCTAACACTTAGCCTTACTTCGCAACTTCGTCACCTAAAATCGCAACCTATACCAATATTTACATATCTAGGTCTTGTCTTAGACTGTATACCAAATTTAGTACAATTAAGTACTTTGCTTCAGTAATTATACGCATTTCCAGAAGGGCCTCCTTATATCAATCGTACACACTTACAATGACGCCCACAGAAAATTTCAACTCCCCACCTTGATCTATTCTCCGATTGGACCAAATTTAGTATAATTTGGTACGATTGGTGGTATACTTCAGTATGCATTTTAAAGACGTTACAAGAAAATAACAAATTAGTACTATTTAGTACTTTTCGTAAATTTAAACTCTGAATTTCCTGCAAGCCCTTTCCAATTTCCAAAGTTCTACCTTTATCCGTTCGCCCCATAGAAATGGTACATTGGTACCTTTTATTACATTTCGTACCGTTTTAGTACCATATTCCAAAACCCAGCCTTACCTCGCACCTTCGTCTCCTAAAACTTCAAGATTCTAGCTTCAGACGTTCTTAGCTCTTTCCGTTTGTGCCACACAAATCGTACCCTATTTGATACCTGTTATTACATTTCGTATCAATATTCCGAAATTCAGCACATTCGTCGCCTAAAATTTCAAGATTCCAGCTTTAGCCGTTGATCTAGGCTGAGGTAAATATATCCCAATTAAAATCAAATATTTTTAAAACCCAAATCACAAAAATATATTTGTTTTCCCCCACCCCAAAATGTTCGGACCCTATTAAACAATAACTAAAACGTACTTCAATATGGTGGTGGTGATGGTAACAGGACATATGGTTAGCCGAAGTATCGTCATTATTATCATCGTCATCCTCATGATTTTATGTGCAAGCATTTTGCCCATCATCATCATCATCATCATCCGCAGCAGCATTAAAGCCATCAACATCACGTACAAAAATGATTGCAATTTTACAATTAAAGTTCGAAAAGAATGAATGAATGAATGCAACGAGAAAACAACAACAACAAGAAAAAATCATCATCTAAAATAGAATGAAAATTGCACAATGTTGCAATAAAGTCGAAATGACAGGCCGATAGACACATAGATATATAGACAAATAGACCAAAGAGCGAGCGAACGAACGAAAAACTGACTGACCGACAGACAGACAGACTGACTGATAGACAAATAAATAGATGGCCACCATTGTCGGCTGGATATGGCGCGGGTGTATGCCCAGGTTATTGTAGTGTATAGGGCGAAACCCAACACGAAGGCAAACAATTCTGCCCAGATACATGGATGCCATAAAATAGATGTACAACGTCGTTATTTAAGAGCGCACTGGTTCATTGAAATGGTGCAACATTAATTTCCAGTTTAAAATTGTGGCAACCGAACAGCCTGCTGGACTGTTGCACTTGGTTCTCTTCCTGTGTCTCTCATCTCCCTCTCTCTCTCTCTCTGTACGTTTTTTTATCTCCATCACTGCAAAAACTACAATTGTGGCTATACTTACCGCCATTACACGGTCTCCCACCATTATTTTGCCATCGCGATGTGCCAGACTACCTTCAGTTATGCGTGAAATGAAAATTCCATCACATCCATCTTTGTAGGGTGGTGAACCTCGTCCACCGGCAATGCTGAAGCCCAAACCTTGACCAATTTGATCGCGTATCAATGTGGTATGCAATGTTATGTAACTCAATGGGCCATCCTGAAAATATGCAATGAAAAACGGAAAAATGAGTAAAAAAAAAACACAGAAAATTAAATAGCATACAATACAGGCGTACAACTACACACATATATTGTGTGCATGCACATATACAAATGAAAATACATATATCAATACAGAACTAGAAATCGCAGAATATGCTAGTCGCCTCTTCGCCGTATATGTTTTGTGTAATGGAGCGCAACACAATGGAGAGTTGCTACGCTTCCGCGTCAATTGTTACATTTCAATCTGGGGACAGGGGTCACAACCCTCCATTACTACACGATAGTGATTTTTCTTGTGAGGCACATATGTAGATGCATACATAAAAAGGGTAATGGGATCTCGGGGGGTTTTGCTTCTTTTTTCCATGGCTGGACGTGATTTTAAACTGTCGGTATACTTAGTAATAGTTGTTGCTGATAGTATGGGCCCCAGTAATGTGCATAATTAAAGCCAAGGTCAACATGTAAACGTGGATTCATTTTTTATACCCCCAGCCTAATCATAAGGCAGGTATATAACATTTGATACGGTTAAAACTGAGTGAAGAAAAACAAGTAAAAAAGCAGCCCGGCACAGCCGAACTTTGAATACCTTCCAGCAATTGGAAGGAACTTGAAAATTTTCAAAAAAATCCGAAAACTACCACTTAAATGAAAACCGAAGACCTGCATATGAATTTTTGTCATAGGCTGTAGTACCCACTGTTGGGGATACTCCTCAACCTTTCTAGGGTTAACCACCACGGACCACTCGTCCCTGGCCAACCTGGTTCCCACCTGTTGTTTGAGAACTACTTACGATTGTCACGCTGGAAATTGCCTGGGTACTGACGGCTTGTTGTCCTAGTCGTGGTCGTCCACTAGCAGCTATCCGCGGGGAAGATGTTGGGCAAACGGGCCTGGAACCGCCTTTACAAATAATAACTAACCGCACAGTTTTTTCTTCAATTTTGTTTTATTTATTTCAATTCACTTATTACTTATTATTATTACAATAGTATTTTGTTTGTATTAGTTTTAATCCATATGATTTTAGTTTATGTTTTCTCTTTTATTCTTATTTCACTTTTTCTTTCTTGTTAGGTTTTAGTTTTATGTTTTATCTCTGCTGACGGCTGCACTGGTAATGACCGATCACACAAAATTCACCAACGAACGAAAAAAAGAACAAAAGAAGAACAAATAATAAATGTCCTGTGTCGTGTCGTTATCAGTGACCGCCGTCAAAAAAAAAGAGCGGAGCGGGCGACGTTTATGGGGATTTTTTTTGGTGTTGCCCTCTTTACGTTTCCCCATAAACATCCTCCCCCCCGTTGGGATTCCTCCCAACTTGGAGAAAAACAAAATAAATTCAAACTTGTAAACTAATTAAATTATGTGTTTGTATAAATGTTAATATAACATAAAAAAGGAATTCACCAGAATCCAGCCTGGATGGTACAATGATTAACACCTCTTGGGCATTTCTCCAAAAAAGGTCCAACCAAAAATAGTGTTTTGGACATAAGGCATATTTGGTTCCAAGATAGGCAGTCCCATGTATATGCCGTCAGCTGCATCTTTCCCCAAAACGACGCTTATTGGACCAGGTCGGTAAAAATGCGTGTCAGCTACAACATTTCGCGGGTAAGTAAATGATACACGGCTGACGTCGAGGTAGTGCCATGGTTCAATGGGATGGTCCGACTCGCATACCCTTACTATCGTTGTAAACGTCCTTACATTATTGTTCGTCGAAGTCAGCACCACCTTGAAGAAAGGGCCAAATTGAGGATTGTATTTTGGCAGAGGATGACCTAAATAGATGCAGCTATCCTGGGCCATAGGGTTGAGCAGGACCCTGATTTTTACTGCAGGTTCTATTTTGCCAGGACTGTGCAGAAATGCCTCCGCTGTCATTTTTGTCCAATATGATTGGCTCGTATCCAAGGGGTGCATAAGCGTATGGTGGGCGAGTTTACAAACACGACACCCGGTCTGCCAGGGACAGTAGGCGATACGGTGACCCATACCAAGGCAATTACGGCAGTACTTCGATCTGCGCACAAAGTCAGCTTTTCCTTCGGGGGCTAGCTGGAGGAAAGATCTGCAGTGCCGTAAAGAATGTCGCGTATGACAAAGAGGACATTTGAAGTCATCATTGTAGCTCATCTGTAAGGAAGGGAAAGGTAGTTAATAATACAATTGCGTAGAGCAAGACTTCATGGGACCATTTTGGCTGGAATTCGGAGCAGGATTTATTCTGAGCGAGGAAGTACAACTAATTTGTGGACCGGGCGAGAGATAATACCACATTGGGTTTTTAAGTCCACAACACGTACTCGAGTGTCCTGACCATGGTGTAATTTTATAACTCGACCCAAACGCCAATCAGTTGGGGCAAGAGCGTCATTCTGTACCACTACTAGGTCATTTAAACGCAAATCATCCTGGGCTCTTTTCCATTTGGGGCGCTTGTGAAGTTCCTTGAGATATTCCGACTTCCATCGACGGCAGAACTCTTGAGAAATAAACTTCAAACGTCGCCAACGATTCAATAAAGATGATTTACATTCGACTTCTTCTGGCTCGGCTGGGGAAAGTAACGAACTTCCAATAAGGAAATGTCCTGGAGTAAGGGCATTGAAGTCATCAATATCATCGGATAGAGGAGTAAGAGGTCGAGAATTTAGACACGCTTCTATGTTGGCTAGTATAGTCGAAAATTCTTCGAAAGTGTGTCTAATCTGTCCTGCGATCTTTTTCAAGTGGCTTTTACAACTTTTTACCCCGGCTTCCCAGAGACCACCCATGTGGGGAGCTGAGGCAGGTATGAAATGCCATTCTAGTTTTTGAAATCCATATCGAGTAACGGCATCTTCCTTAATTTCTGAGACAATCTTCATGAAGTTAGCCCGAAGTTCTCGATCAGCACCCACGAAATTTTTGCCATTGTCCGAGTACATATTGAGAGGACACCCACGTCTGGCTATAAAACGAGAAAGTGCGGCCATGAAGGCAGGGGTGGACAGATCGCTGACAGGTTCCAAATGGATAGCCTTTGTTGTAAAGCATACGAACAAGCAGATATAACCCTTCGAAATGCGACAACCTCTACCGCTAAACGTTTTTATTTCGAAAGGCCCGGCGAAATCTACCCCGGATGTGGAAAATGGCCTGCTGAACGTGGTCCTTTCAGGAGGAAGTGCAGCCATCAGTTGAGTTCGTCGTTTTCTTTGAGCCAAGACGCACCGAGTACATGATCTATAGTGGGTTTTCACCAAATTTCTCCCTCTGATGATCCAACATTCGAGTCGAATAGTGGCGAGAGTAAGTTGAATGCCTCCGTGATTAGTCTGCCTGTGAACGTGATCGACATAGAGTTTGGCAAATTGGCTTCTATAAGCCAAAATTATTGGATGTCTTTCGTTATACGAGAGGGTAAGGGAGGAACTTAAGCGCCCGTTTGCCCGAATAAGTTGATCCTTGTCTAAAAAAGGATTTAAAGAAAGTAAAGAGCTGCCTGATTCCAATCGTTTATTTTTCGTGAGACAATCATACTCTGAGGGAAAGTGAATTCTTTGAGACAAAGACATCAAACGATAACGGGCAAAACTAATTTCCTTGCAAGAAAGCTTTATACCTTCAAAGTGGGCCAACTTTTTACTCTCCGGATGGGTTCTTCGGACAAATCGAAAAGCGTAAGCAATGGCGCGGACAGCAGTGGATAGGCGAGAAAACCGTCCTAAAACGTCCTCTTCCACGGTAGATCGAGCAAGATTAACTTTGATAGGTTTTGACTCAAGACTAGTCTCCGTAATCGCCACAGCGGAAGGCCATTTTTTACTATCTAGCTTCAGCCAATGAGGCCCATGCCACCACAAATCAGACTCCTTAAGCTCTAAGGGAGTCCGCCCCCGGGTTGCTAGATCTGCCGGATTTTCATCGGTCGGAACATGACGCCATTCATTTCCAACTTTTTCCTGAATGATCGAAACCCTATTCGCCACAAAGGTTGTCCAAGTATACGAAGGTTTTTTGAGCCATGATAAGACTATAGTTGAGTCAGACCAAGCAAACAGCGGAGCTTTTGGTAGTTCTAATTGTGAATTAATCGAATCTACTAATTCCGCTAGCAGAAGAGCTCCACATAACTCCAAACGGGGCAACGACATTTTCTTCAAAGGAGCAACTTTTGACTTGGCTACGAGTAAGTTTGCAAAAATAGAGCCACCAATTTCCACTCTCAAATAAAGGGCTGCCGCATATGCCGACTCCGATGAGTCACAAAACCCATGAATTTCTATATTACAATTCGGCGAATATTTTACCCAACGCGGTATGCTTATTTCTTCTATTCCTTTGGAATTTGATACAAAATGTTTCCAATTTAACAGAGTAAGAGATTTTAGTGGATCATCCCATCCAATATCATCCAACCAAAGCTGTTGCAATAGAATTTTTGCCGTAACAACAATCGGAGCAAGCCATCCGAGAGGGTCAAAAATCTTTGGAATGGTTGATAAAACTTGTCTCTTTGTATATGAACTTCTTTCTTCGATTTTTTCAATTACAAAGTAAAAGCTATCAGAGGCGGCATTCCACCTAATTCCCAAAGTCTTAGCAGAACTCTTGTCACCGAGTTCAAGAAATTCTGCATTCAAGAGATGCTCACGAGCAAGACCATTCAAAACTTCTTTTGAGTTAGATGTCCACTTTCTAAGTTCAAAGCCAGCTGATTCTAAAATGCCTGTGAGTTGGTTACGAGCTTTAAGTCCTTCTGAGACATTATGAACTCCCACCAAGGCGTCATCGACATACATGTTATTTCTCAAAATTTTCGAGCCAATAGGAAACAAATCTTCCTCGTCATCCGCTAATTTCAAAAGCGTTCTGAGGGCCAGGTAAGGGGCGCAATTTACACCAAAAGTGACTGTCTTCAACTCATAGTCAACTATTTCTTCATCTGGGGAGGTTCTAAAAAGTAATCTCTGATACTTTGTGTGTTTTGGA